ACAAAAATTTTATAAACTGGTTTTTGTTTATTTTTTGTTTATTTTTAGAAAAACAGAAACTACAAACGCGTTTGGTAATTGACAAAATGTTTAAAAAAAATTAAAAATATAAAAAAGTGTGAGAAATGGCAAGTGGTGGCAAGTGGCGGTGGAAGACGGTGGTGGAAAGTGGTGACAGTGGGTGGCGGGCGGACAAAAAAGGCCCAACCAAAAAAAAAGAAAACTAAACATTTGCAATTAAAGAGATTTGATGATTAAAAAAATGAAGAAAAGAGAAAACGAATGATATATGTATATGATGCATTGATAATGATTATTATGCAAGGCTATTGTAAAAGTATATATATATATATATATTTTGGGCCAAAAATTATAACATTAGGATTTGTTTGATTCGACATATTATACTATAGGATTGAAATTATCGATCCATGCGACTCACATTTCAATATTTGGTTGTAATTTTTGCTATTCAGAATAGATTTCGATCGACATTTTATTTAATAAAATTGGTAGATTTTTTAATCTTACAGCTAATAATGCAAAACAAACATAAACTGGTATTACATATTTTCACATTCATTGCAAAACAATCATAACAAGAAAGAAATTATTTATCCTACTAATCCTGTAGATAACCAATCTAACACTAGTTCTATGGATTGTTATTAGTCATGCTAATTAAACAAAGCCTTATTGTGTTAAGATTTTATTTTATTCATAAATTACTATATTTAAAAATTTTCATGACCCTGTCAACAAAAAATTAAACACAAATTCAAAGACTAACATTTGCAATCAAAGAGATTTGATAAAAAAAGTAAAATAAAAAATGAGGAACAAATAAAACGAATGATATATCCTCAACAATGTTCCCGCGAAAATAGTAACCACCATATATATATATATATATACACTTCCGTTAAGTTTCAAATCTGATTAACCATAACTGTCTCCACATATCGCTTTTTCAATAATGAATAGAAGAGGAGACTGATGTAGGACAAGATTTTAAGATTTTCTATATACAACTTTTGGAAGAGGGGCAAGTAACTGAAAAATTCAAAATATCTGTTTATTTGGCATGGAAAATGGCAGATCTATGAACTCGAGGGCGAGTTCTTTCAATGAAGAGGAGACTGATGTAGGACAAGATTTTAAGATTTTCTATATACAACTTTTGGAAGAGGGGCAAGTAACTGAAAAATTCAAAATATCTGTTTATTTGGCATGGAAAATGGCAGATCTATGAACTCGAGGGCGAGTTCTTTCAATGAAGAGGAGACTGATGTAGGACAAGATTTTAAGATTTTCTATATACAACTTTTGGAAGAGGGGCAAGTAACTGAAAAATTCAAAATATCTGTTTATTTGGCATGGAAAATGGCAGATCTATGAACTCGAGGGCGAGTTCTTTCAATGAAGAGGAGACTGATGTAGGACAAGATTTTAAGATTTTTTGTATTTTTAGTTTTAATATTTTTGATAAATTATTTTATTAGGAATCTTGTAATTTAGTATAAATAATTTAGAATTATTAGGTTTCTTAATTTTATTATTTTAGAATTAGATTTTGAATAGGATTTTAAATAGTTAAGAATTCTAGTTTCCTATTCTCTTAGGTCTCCTAATTTATGTTGATTTAGTTTCATAATTTATTTTAGAATTACTTTTCCTACAAGTATTAGATTTAGTTTATTATAAATAGCTATGTAAGCCTCATGGCAAAGACAACTTTTATACAACTTTTATTCATTCATTCAATAATATTTCTCTTCCTTGTGGATTCAAGGTTCTATTTTTTCTCGTGGATTCGAGAGCCCCTTTCGTCTAATAGAACGATATCTAGTCCCCGTGTATTCCGCTGCGTCAGTTCTTCTCTATATGCTTCAACTGGTTGACAAAATTAATTAGACAAGCATTGAAAATCAAATTAAATTGCTCTACACCAAGAAAATCAACCAAATTTACTTTGTGTAGAACTTGCATGCTCTCTTGATGTTGCACCATCTCAAATTCAATTGATCCTCCAACTATCAACCTTGGAATATCAAGTGTAGCATCAACCAATTTCTTTTTTGCACACAGCGGTTGTATTATCTCTTCTTCTGTTTTCTCTTTGTTACTGGGCTCAATCAGATCTCCTTCTTCTTCAATATTTTTATGATTTGTTTGTAAAACTTTCTCCTCAATATTCAAATTACCATGTGTTGATACATGATCAACACTCAAACAAGACTTTGTATCTTCTTATTAGTTTTACAACTAATATCACCACAAATAATATTTTGATGCGAATTTTTTTCTTTTTCAACTATAATTTCATGGCAATGTTTTACCAACTCCATAGAAGTATCTTGATTTGTATATGACAATATATCTTCATGATCATGAAAGTAAAATTTTGTTGCCAAAAACTTTTTCATTGTTAACCATGAATGAAATTTGTCTTTACCTTTGCAAACTCGATAATCTTGTAACCCATTCCACCACTTCAATGCAATTTTATCAAGTTTGTAGGATGCAAATATAACCTTCTTTTCATGAGGAATCTTCATGAATTCAAAGAAATTTTCAAGATCAAGTAACCAATCAAGAAAATCTTCTTTTTGAAACTTACTTGAACCGTTAAAATATGAAATTTCTGCAAAATAACGTAAGCTAATGGGTTGGCCTCGGGTGAATCCTTCGGCACAATTGCTGTCAACTATTGGTTGCCTCTGGTTGACGATTAGTCCCAAATCAGCAAGTAGATTACAAATCTCATTGTGAAGTTCGTGCACCTCTAGCCGATGTTCCTCAATCGTATCCCATATGGCTTCCACCCTACGATCAACGTCAATAGGGATTGTGTGTGCTCCATTGTCTTGTGTAATTGAGCTAGGCGAATCCATGCTCTAATACCACTTGACGCAACGGAATACATGGGGACTAGATATCGTTCTACTAGACGAAAGGGACTCTCGAATCCACGAGAAAAAATAGAACCTTGAATCCACAAGGAAGAGAAATATTATTGAATGAATGAATAAAAGTTATATAAAAGTTGTCTTTGCCATGAGGCTTACATAGCTATTTATAATAAACTAAATCTAATACTTGTAGGAAAAGTAATTCTAAAATAAACTAGGAAACTTAAATCAACATAAATTAGGAGACCTAAGAGAATAGGAAACTGGAATTCTTAACTATTTAAAATCCTAGTTAAAATCTAATTCTAAAATAATAAAATTAAGAAACCTAATAATTCTAAATTATTTATACTAAATTATAAGATTCCTAATAAAATAATTTATCAAAAATATTAAAACTAAAAATAAAAAAAAATCTTAAAATCTTGTCCTACATCAGTTATGATGCATTTGCACAGTTGCGCAATACTACTTTAGTTTATTTATGATGCATTGATAATGAGGTGGTTATGCAAGGCAATTGTAAAAGTATATATATATATATTTGGCAAAAATTATAATATTATGGTTTGTTTGATTTGACACAATATAGCATAGTATTGGGATAATCAATCCATGGAACTCACATTCTAATATTTGATTGCAATTTTTGCTATTTGAATTAGATTTCAATAGACATTTATTTAATAAAATTGGTAGATTTTTTAATCCTACAACTAATAATGCAAAACAAACATATAATTGGTATTATGTATTTTTCATGTTCATTGCAAAAGAACCGTGAAAAAGAGATTATTTATCCTACTAATCTAGTTGGATAATCAATCGTACATTAATTCCATGGATTGTTAATCCCCTCACTATTAATCATGCTAATCAAACAGAGCCTTATTGTGTTGAGATTTTCTTTTATTTACAAATTATTAGTATATTTATGTTTTTTCATGACCCAACCAACAAAAAATTCTTGTTTTAACCACCATTAGTATGTTTATTCATCTTTGTTCTAAATTCCCTTGTTCATGGTATGTAAGTTTATATATGTATTTTTGCCCTGATTGTATGATTTGTAAAGTCTGTTTGTCATTAATATATGTTTGTTGTTGGTTATCTAACTTCTGGATATTGATATATTTTATAAACATCACATAATTGGGTATGTCTATGTTATTTGATCACAATCGAGCCTTATGTTGAGAAGCAACATCAACTCGAGCAGCATATGGTTGCATTGTTGGTTCCAAGTTTGGGAAGGTAGCTATTTATTTCCATCAGCAGTTGGTCTAAAACTAAGTAAACTGCAAGGAATGACTTCATGTTTGTATGAAGCATGGTCCAGGGGTATTGGGTTGTTTCCTCTATCTATTATGATTCATTAGTTAAACAAATGGTTTCCTTCAGTGGATCGATTCTTCCTTCGTTGGAATTGCCATCTTTGCTGCTCTCAGCTTCTGAATTCGTACATTTCAATAGCCCCAGTCTAGAAACCCTAATGTTGTATTTAGGACTATTTTGTGAGGAAAGCAATACAAATGGATCCAATTAGGAGGGAATAAACAAGTACTTTTAGACTTCATGAATGAGCAATTTGAGCTTGGCTCTAGAATGTTTAATGCTGTGTTTGGTTGAAGGATTTGGAGAGAGATTTAGAAAGGGAAAGGGAAAAGGTGTGTGAAAGAGAGATTTAGAAGCGTATTTCCTTTCTACATTCCTTCCATTCCATGTGCCCCTCAATGTAATAGCTTTTATGACCTAACTTCCATTTTCAGCTTTCTACATGCGAAAAATTGTGTCAAAATACTCGGATCCAAAAACTAGGACCATAAACCAGTTGAATCGAGGTGTGTAGTAAATCATTCGAACTTAATTCGAAAACTTCACAAGAGTCAAAAATGTGTTCCAAGTTTTGATTTATTTATCTTTCGGGCCAAACTTAAATAAGGGGTTGTTTGGAGTGTCCTAAACACTACAAGAAAATTGGCATACAACAACGTTTATACAACATCGTTTTAAAAAAATGCCATTTTTTAGTGTTTTGCGTATTTTACATTTAAAAAAAAAAAGGAAGAAAGAAAAGTCAATTAACAGATCTCACTCTCTCACACTCGTATCTCCGTCATGGTCCGTCTCTCTCAGTCTTACACTGATATCTCACTCTCACAGACATCACTCCCTCTCAGTCTCTCACACACCGCTCCTCTCTATCGTAATCAAACATCGATCTACATTCCTCGGTCAAACGTCGATCTCTGTCGCTCTAGGGCTTTGCTCTAGCTGTTCTTCATCGAACTCGAACTTGATCTCAATCTGTTATTCATCTCAGATCAAATCATTATCATTCTTCGATTCTCTTCTTCTCTCTTCGATCTCTCTGCAAATCTCTCTCTCTCTAAACTCTATTTGGATCTATCTGTGTTCGATCATGGAGATGGAACGTGTGATCGAGTTTCCACACGCGGACATGGATCGTCGTCCCAGAAAGAGACCGCGTTTGGGTTGGGATGTTGCTCCTCAGGCCCTTAAGGTATCAAATCTGTTCTCTAGATCTCTAATTTCATAATTTTTTTTGGTTCTATTTTTTGGTTCTATTTTTTGCTAGATCTGGTTGAAATTAGATACGTGGTAGATCAGGTATGAGAAAATGTTTATGCTTTTATAAATCTGTAAATTTCATGGTAGATCGGGTTGGGAAAAAGGTTTATTATTATTATTATTTTTTCTTATGTATAATCAATTTTTATGTATGATCTGTAAATTTCTGTCTTCCTTGGTGGAGATGCGAAGTTACTTGAGGTAGAAAAGCTTGTTCTCCGTCTTTTCTTGAGCGTATATCTTCGAGATTGTTCGAATCCCTCTGATCTAAATTGATCTAGGGCTCAAGGTAAGTGTTTTCTGACTTGGATTCGCTAAGTTCATGGTTAAAACAACGATTTGGAGTATATTTACGTTGAGTTTTGTTTGTAGGCATCAGATTGGAGTCTAGGACCAAAAGAATGTATACTACTGCTTGGATGATTGAAGAATATGATAATTATCTTGGACCTGGTAGTGTATTGGTATGTTCTAATGTTCTTTAAGAAACTTCATCATATCTGCTATTTTGTTTGAGGTCATATACAATAATAAGATTTTATTTCGTTGCTTTAAAATTAGGGGGAAACTTTTATAAATTTGGTTTCCTTTAAGGCATCACAGCATAAAACATCTCATAAGATTAGCTGGTCCATTGGGCCGAATACTGAGTTATCATTTTTTTTTTTTAATACATGTGGATCTGCATCAGCCATCAATAGAATGACATCATCATTCATTCATTCATTCATTCATTCATTCTTCTTCTTCTTCTTCTTCTTCTTCTTCTTCTTCTTTTTTGTTGTTGTTGTTGTTGTTGTATTGGTTTGCTTTCACCTCTTTTGAAATCAGACACAAGATATATTAATGTCTTAGATCGTACATTAAGTTCTTAGATTTTAAATATGTTGCTTGAAATTTTATTTTTTAAGATCCAAGTATGTGTAGAAAATATTGTCAGATGTGCCAATGGGTGACAGAAACAGGGCAAGCAGCCTTGCTGGTCAAGGCAAGCTCAAGAATGTCCGGGTTTCCCACAGGGTACTGTTTCATCAATTTGGTTAGAACTATTCATCTTCGTTCTTTCTTTCTTCTTCTTCATCATCTTCGTCTTCATCTTCTCTTTATTATGATTATTATTATTACTATTTAATATAAGTTTGGAATACCTTCTTTACATTCCTTCAAATCCGTCATGATTTTTTATATTCACAGATTAGGAACCCCATGGACTATGATGTCTTAAAGGAAACCATTAGTAATATTCAAAAATCTTTGAAGAATGAAGATATTCCCTTGTCAATCGCTGTAATATTTGATAGAGAATGGCTGCTTGGAGGTAATGGAACATAATATTTGTATTCGCTTAAACTAGCTTATCAGTAATTATTCTTTCTTCAGATCCATCCAGGGCAGACAAACATTCCGCATATTCCGTTCTACTTGCTGAAAATATTTGCAACAAACTTGAAGTGAAGGTGAGCGCAACTCATATTAAATTATCTTGAAGGATATTAACGTTTATTTCAATTGTAAATAACATGAGTATAGCAACTACTTTTTCTTTTCTTTTCCGGGAAATCTGCCTAATAGAATTTAGAATTAAGGAGAAAATTCTCATTTAGGTTGTGAAACTATAAACAATGGGCTAATATGATTGAGGCTTAACATGTGCAATGCTAGAAGGATCCAATTGAATGACCTAGCGAAGCATGCTAGCCGTTCTCTTTATCTTGTAATGCCTATATAGGGCATACATGGGCAACAAGCCCCATTTGGAAGCAAGGAAAAAACGCAATATTATGTCAATGTATAATGTGTAATTCAATATATTGTCTATGGTAATTTGGTTGATATCATTGCATATATGTGGATGTGTGGGTACCCATTTGTGTCAAAATGCACTTGTCTTCATGCTTCCAAACATGCTTGTAGAATTGCCATTTTATTTATCTGTTTTCTATGTTTGTTTAAATATGGATCGTATAGTACTATATTAAGGGCATATCACTTTGCATCATCAAAAATGCTTTTAGGAAATACCAAGCGATGCTAAATGCCTTTTTCCATGTTTTTTTGGGTGCAGTTTACCAAGTTGATGAAACTTGAGGTGCCTCTTTTGATACCAAGAAGGGGTGATGTCACAATTATTTTTATCAAGAGAGGGATTATCGTATCTAACTTCCTCCCTTTCTCTCTCTCTTGGTGAAATGTGTTGAGGTTTTTAAGGAATTTTATCGAACAAAAACAAAACATAGAAAGCTTTATTGGATTTACTCATTGGGTACTTGCAACATAATTGGCAAGTTTGTGCCAAAAACTATAGAGTTGATTGTGGGAACTTGTCAGGTAAATTCCTATTTATATTGTACTTTGATTTGTACAAATCAGGGATTTGAACTTGCTCATAATGTATGAAAGGTTGTTTGTTTGATGAATGAATTTGATAGGTTCTGTTGTGTTTTACATGTGTAGTTGGGCAATCATTGCATCAAAATTCAAGGATAAATCAACCAGGCAATGTAGAAGAAGGTTAATTATTTTATAAAAACATGATTTTTTTAAAATTTATGATCTCCTTTGTCTTCCAATAATTCTTTAATTTTCTGTTTTTTAGTCTAACCCCAATGTTGATGTGACATACCATTGCAAATGGTACACTTACTTGAATTCTGATTTCAAGAAAGGGGGTGGTGTCCAGAGGAAGACTTGCTCTTATGTGAGGTAAAATTGATGCTTTCTGAACTCAAAAGTCGCGATATATCAATACTGACAAGCTAGTTTTTCCTTTCTATTACTATTATTGATATATTTTCTTTTGAACTATATATGTAACACTATCTTTGTTCAATCATTAATTTCCTTAAATTTTCTTTGAGTTCATTTGTTTTGTTGTCTCCAATGGTCCAACAGATAATGCCAAGTGTATTTCAAAATTAGATAATTATTTCTCCATTATTGTCTGTGGGAATTTGATATTTTAAGATCCACTGCAGGCTCGAAAAGTATTTGGTAACAGATGGACTGAAATAGCCAAAGTGGTCTCAGGGAGGTATATAAAGTTGTAATGTTTTATTTCTTGCTTGGCATTGGAAAAGTGTGTGGTAATTACAAATTAATTTCTTCATCTATGCTTACAGAACTGATAATGCTGTGAAGAACTGATTTTCCAGTGTGTAAGAAGAGGGCAAAATATGAAGCCTTAGTGAAAGAGAATGATAACACTTCATACATCAATCCAAACAACAAAAGGGTTATCTTTCGAAAAGTTGTTACATTAAATTTCCAAGGATATAAATTAGAATTTTTATGGTCTTCAATTTGACATTGTAATTCAAATTTGAGCCAATTTGTGTTCTTTTATATTAATTATTAGTCAATTCTTAATCGCTGTTCCTAGTTAAATTTACATTCACTATTCTTAGTTAAATTCTCAATTAATTGGGTTGTGTTCTTTTAAAAAAAAAAAAAGGGGCTCCTTTTGGGAAAAAAAATTGTCACTAAATGATGTCATCATGACATCACATCTGAGGTAAGTATTAAAAATGAAGAAAAAAAACGCCACTAAATGATGTCATCATTACGTCATACGTTAATTGTGACGGAAGTGGAAGTGACTGTTACAGATTTTGCGACGATTTAAAAAACGCCGTCTAATATTTTTAGCGACGTTTTTAAAACGCTGTTAAGCTATTGCGGCGGCCGTATCTACGACGAAAATATTAAACATCGCAAAAACCTATTGTGGCGGTTATCAAGCCTATGGCGGCAAGTCAAGTTTCTTGTAGTGAAATAAGTGCACTTTTTGTCTTTTTGGACTAAAAAATTGAGGAAAAAAATATGAATGTTTGGGTTAACTTTTTGACTTTTTATGAAAAAATATGTAATAAAAAATTGTATAAATTAATGTGTAGAGAAAAATTAAAATTGAGAGTTGTGCAGTCGTAATTTTTGACTTTTGATAAATAGTGATAACTTTTTAACTTTTTGAGTAACTTTTTAGTAATTTACCAAACTTAGCCTAAATTTCAATCGAACTAATCACATGTTCATTTATGTAATTTGGTATTCTATATCGTCACTTATCAAGATGAGTTTGATTCAAACTCAGAAATGCATCGAGTTTTGAAAAACTTAATTTAGGTTACAGTTCTATTAAAATCACATTTATTGCTTTTAAATATTTTAACTAATCCCTTTGTCATCATCTCCTGCATTAACACTTTAATCAGACTTGTCAGTATATCATTCAGGGTAGATTAGTTATTTAAGGACAAAAATGTCCTTGGCTCATACTTCTTTGTCATTTTGTATCCTCCACAGAAGCAAGGTATAAAAGATTACTCATTACACATCAACAAACCACTGTTCTAAAGAATCTCACAAAAACCCAAAAGTAGGATTGATTGAGCTCCTTTACCCACAGGAGAGAGAGAGAGAGAGAGAAAATGAAATTTATGATACATCTCAAATAACAAATCTACATAGAGATATTGATACATCACCATCAATGCCAGAAAACATCCACTGGCATTGACTTGAATGAGGATAAACAATGATATTAATCCCTTATGAAAGTAACCTCAATTATTTTCTGAACAGAATTGACACGTAAAAAAGGGTATATATGCTAACAAAATCTAAGTACACAAAAGAATGGAGGATACATATACCAAACCAAACTTGATACAAATCCAAAAAAACACACTCATCCACGCACACTAAAACATGTAGATATACTTGGTTCACTTACTACTTATAGAAGCAAATCCCAATTGAATTTAGGACTGGCTGCAGTTGTGGATGTTGAAGTCTGGGCCGGCGCCATAGCCAATCCCGAATCAAACGTCTCCCATTGTGTGGTTATGACGACCGGTCCAGACATTGAATGCCTTGATGACTGTGACATCTGGGGCGGTTTGTGTAGTGGCACATGCCCCACAGAATGTCTCGGTTGCTGCTGTTGATTTGGTGATGGCGTTTGCTCATTAGAGTACCTCTGTTGGTGAAATGGTGGTTGTTGCTGTGGAATTGGACTTCCATTGCTCATGGACATCGAGTTTTTGATCTTCAACATGTCCAGAGTCTCAACTAATTTCTGCACTCTTCTCACCTTCAGGAGAGTGAATGTCGTGTCAAATTGAGAACTTAATCAACAACTAAAATCTACAGTCCACCACCACTGCCCCTCCTCCAGAGTCTCAACTAATTTCTGCACTCTTCTCACCTGCATTTTCCTCTGCAATTTGACATCCCCATCGCCTATTATCGCATCCAGTTTAAGCAGTTGATTCATCAACTGTTCAGTCGGATTCAACAAATCCTTCTCTGCAACCTTCCCACCTTTAGTGACTACCGATTCAAGCGCAGACACCTACCGAATTTCAATTAACAAAAACAAAAATGGAATTATTATTTATCAACAAATTTATCATCTTATAAACACCAACATGCCCATTTTGAATTCAATCTGGATTTGCTGAATTTGGGATTCCAACTTTAGCGGCAAAGTTGAATAATCTCATCCGTCCGTCAAAGAATGAAAAGAATTCGGATTTGCCAAATTTGGGATTCAAACCTCAGTGACAAAGTTCAAAAATCTCAATCATCGGCCCAAAATTGAAGATTTAGACGTTTTTCTTGTCACTAGGGTTTTAAATATTGAACGGTAACTATTATGGGCTTCCAATACTAATGTTCACTGCTATAGACATATAATTGTAAAATCGATATTGATACGTACACCAATACGGTTGATACTTTCCATTCTTGATAGATAACTGGAAATTTGCAATCAAATTCAGCAAATATACCTGGCCTGCAAGCCTATCAACCTCCAAGCTGATATCGGAGATCGATTTGGAAGCCTTCTCCATCGTGGCATTCTTTCGCATCTCAAGGTACCTTCTCTCCTTACTAATTGGGTCCTCAACAAGCACAATCTTCGACCGGTCCTTAACTCCGGCGACGTCGAGGAAGGCTTTTGAATCCCTCTCCTTGTTATTGAACAGCAGCTTCTGATCCTCGTGGTGCAGCCCTGTCGGCTCTGTTATCATCTTCTTCAATTCCCCTGCAATCAATTCCCAAAAAATTCTAAATCACAAACCCAACTCTCCTCTCTATCATCTTGTCTTGTTTCTAGTAAAATGGTATTTTTATTTTGATTTTAATTTCAGAATCATGAAAAAATAATAGAAATTAATTTGACAAAATATAAACACTAAAAATGAACTTTTTGAACTTTCTAAAACTATTTTAGCCTTTAAAAAATGTAAAATTATAGGACAATGATTAGTGTTTTTATTTATTACTATTTTTTTTACTAAATTAATTTTCAGTTTTTTTTTTTTTTTTTTTTTCAAAAAAAAATTTTTTTTGTCAAAGATTTGGAAGCCTTCTCCATCGTGGCATTCTTTCGCATCTCAAGGTACCTTCTCTCCTTACTAATTGGGTCCTCAACAAGTACAATCTTCGACCGGTCCTTAACTCCGGCGACGTCGAGGAAGGCTTTTGAATCCCTCTCCTTGTTATTGAACAGCAGCTTCTGATCCTCGTGGTGCAGCCCTGTCGGCTCTGTTATCATCTTCTTCAATTCCCCTGCAATCAATTCCCAAAAAATTCTAAATCACAAACCCAACTCTCCTCTCTATCATCTTGTCTTGTTTCTAGTAAAATGGTATTTTTATTTTTATTTTAATTTCAGAATCATGAAAAAATAATAGAAATTAATTTGACAAAATATAAACACTAAAAATGAACTTTTTGAACTTTCTATAACTATTTTAGCCTTTAAAAAATGTAAAATTATAGGACAATGATTAGTGTTTTTATTTATTACTATTTTTTTACTAAATTAATTTTCAGTTTTTTTTTTTTTTGTCAAAAACATAATTCCTAGAAAAGAATTTTTTTAGTGTATTTTTCTGGTAAAATTAGTTTGTAAATTTTTTACAAAAATTATGAAAATATATTCTAAAAATTCAACCAAACAAGATCGTTTGGTTGAATTTTCAGAATATGTTGATGAAAAAAGTTTTCAGAATTTGTTTACAGAAACAGATTCTGAAAACTTCATCAATTGTTTTTTTGTTGGGTGTTGATTTGAGTTACCGAAAGTGGCTTGAGAGCTGATATTGAGTTCGTGGTAAATGGACCGGAATTTGACTCGGACTCGGATGGTGGGCGGTGGGATGCGGTGTTGATCGGAGTCAGTTCGCTTCTGAACCAGCATTCCGCCGGGCCTAAGCTCCCACTCTCCTTCTCCGCCGCCGTTGGCCGGTGAACTTCCCGTCGTCATTCGCATCATCTTTTGATTTCGTGTCGGTAATGTGTTTTTGAGATGGGTTTGTGATTTTGAATTTGAATTTGCTGTGATTCTTCGACAGAGTATTTCTAGATCAAACGTTTGACTTGTTTAGGATCTGTAGAGGAATCTGAGAAACCCATCATCGGAGACCCAGTTCTGAGCTTCTCCATTGTCGAAATGTCAGATCTCTCTCTCTCTCTCTCCAACCCAAATCTGCAAAAAAATTATCGAACCAGCAATGTTAATACTGCGATTCACACGATGAGACTCTCCGAGAAAATCAATGTTTGACAAATGAAAAGAATTTCGAAATATTGGCTCTCTCTCTCCTCTTTCTCTCTCTCCTTGTGGAGAAGATTCGAAGAAGGAGAGAGAAATTATAAAAAAGAGTGGACAGCCAACACAACAACGCCAATGACCAGAGAACACAAAACACACTACATATATGTATATAAGAATAATAATAATTGAGTTGTATTTTATTTTATATGTATATAAGAATAATAATAATTGAGTTGTATTTTATTTTATATGTATATAAGAATAATAATAATTGAGTTGTATTTTATTTTATATGTATATAAGAATAATAATAATTGAGTTGTATTTTATTTTATATGTATATAAGAATAATAATAATTGAGTTGTATTTTATTTTATATGTATATAAGAATAATAATAATTGAGTTGTATTTTATTTTATATGTATATAAGAATAATAATAATTGAGTTGTATTTTATTTTATATGTATATAAGAATAATAATAATTGAGTTGTATTTTATTTTATATGTATATATCCGAAAGGGATCTACAAGAGTAAACATCATACATTAAATATATTTGAAAAAGTTAAAATATATGAATTCATAAATAATGAAAATAAAATGATATTCATTAATAATTATGAAAGTATTGATATAAATAATCTTATTTTTTTTGTCTGGAAAGAGCATCAATATGAGGCAACAATTTTGTGCCAAATTATGATTCAAAACCAGTTTTCTGTTTTATCTAGCTTTTTTCTTTTTCTTTTCTCGCATTCATTGGACTATCTATTCTAATAGGGAAAAACTATGGTACTCCTCAAAGGTGTGTATTATGTAAATATATTAATTAAATAATAAAATGATATAACTATATATTTTTTAAGTCATAATTAAAAAATTGATCATAATTGAAGAAAAAATAAATGGTGCATATGATATAATCTTTTTAAAGGGTGTGTATATTAAAATTTCTTATTCTAATATTCTTTTATTAAATAATTCTTCTATTATTCATCATCTCAATAAACAGTATCCAAAAAAGTCAGAATAATAGGATAAAATATCTCAAAAAATGATAAATTATCGAATGGAAAATAAAATAGTGTCGTAACAAATTTTGTCCAAGTATTATAATTATAAATAATAGTTAGTTATAAAATTAATTTATTAAGGCGGATGGGACAGTATTTTCATAATTTAATTCCTATATTTAGTTTTAAAAAGTTTAATTTATTGAGACTGATTTAGATGTTGTAATGGACTAATCTTTGACACACGTAATTTTACTTTACATATAATGATAATTATTTGACATAAACTTCAAAGTGGCCTTCAAAAAGCGGAAAATTGCTACATTATTCTAGTTGATAAGGGCCTATATGATTATCATACAAAAAATCATGAGTTCAAATTTTAAGAGGAGTATGAATTTCATTCTTCCCTTCTTCTTAAAATTATTTCAAAATTTTAACTCAATATTTTCAGGTATATATAGAATGGAGGATTTTATATACTTTAAAATTAGTTGAGGTGATGAGAAATTGAAATCTGAGGAGTTTCCAATTTTCACCCATAGTAGAAAAATATTGTAGTGGTGTGGATTCATTAGAGGCTACAAGGAGAAATTATTCAGTATTTTTAAAATAAGTTTTAGTGGTGTTCTATATTGATATTTATTATTTTAGACAATAGAATTTATCATTTTTAAGGTTTTTCTTTTTTAAGAATATGAGATATTTTTTATTGAATTTAATACATTTTTTAACCTTTTTATTTATTTTCAAGATATTTTTACTTTAATCTTAGCATTACTAATGTCTAGATTATGCTTTAACATTTGTCATAAAAAATAAATAAGTAAATAAATAAAATAAAATAATTTAGAAAGTATGTTGGTGATGAGAGTGTTATGGGGAATTTAGGTTGATCCAATCATTGTGTGCTTAATTATGCGAAGGTCATTTATGGAAAGTGATTAGAAAGAGATTAGTTGTCAATTTTTGAAGCCGAGTGTAGTGTTGTTCTATCTCCTAAGTAAGCTAGCATATGCAAGTATTTCATTAGCTAGGAGGCGTACTTGCTTTGCCGGAGCTGTGGTGAATTGCAATCCAATCGGGTTAGATGGTTGCATCTGAAGACAACTCGTAACAAACACACATATTATTGACTTTTATCCAAATGATTTTTACACGATGTCAGTAAAATTATATGATGTTAGATTTCAGCACTGTTCCTTCTACAATTCTATCCTTGCTCAAAATTTATTCACACATTCTTCACAATTTTTTATTTTTGTTGAACATGTTTAGTGATGTTTGTATGTATAACTTTTAGTTAATATTTTTATAAAAAAAAATTAAATTATAAATAAATAAGTGCTTGACAATTGTTTCTTCTTTAAAAAAAATTGTGCTTCACTTCTTTTTAAAACAAGTTTTCATTTGCATCTCTTTTATCTTCTCGTCGGTCACCAACTCCAACCATGCCAACAATGGTAAGAGCATCTCCAGCAACCTTTTCATTTCACTAAAAACTCTACAATAGCAAGTCAAATGTTTAAATTTCTTCTCTAGCAGCCTAGCTACTGTGAAGCCAAACTAACATTTTGCTACAGTACCTCGCTAGGAATTTCACTAAAAACTCTACAATAGCAAGTCAAAGGTTTTAATTTCTTCTCTAGCAACCTAGCTACAGTGAAGCCAAACTAACATTTGCTACAGTACCTCGTTAGGAAAGACGAGGTACTGTGCACTAGCTCTTAATTTTTTTTATCCTTTTTTAATTCAAATTTTTGTTTCTTAGAATATTTTAATAGAAGATATCTAAAGTATAAGAATATTTTAATAAAAGATAGCTAAAATAGATAGTCTTATTGGAGTGTATATTAAAAAAATAACTAGCTAAAATAGTAAAGTAAAATTTTGAATAACTATTTTGACTATCTTTGTTGGAGATGCTCACCGTATGACTACCAACATAAACTTGTCCCGTCTAAGTGCCGTTTTGGCAACGCAGCAAAAAGTTGCGTTTTGAGCAACTTCCCAAAAACGCCAACCCTTGCAAAAATGCCACTAATCCCATTTGGGAAGACCCAAAAAAGTCACTTACAAATTTACCAAACTACCCTCTGGAACATTATAATTAATTAATTCAAAAATTTGTTGAGATGTAAAAAGTAAGGATATTTTGGTCATTTTAGAGTGATGTGACACTTTTAAAAAATATTAAATCAAAAAGCAAAAAAGTCAATTTTTTATCAACTTTTCAAATCATTTCAAAAAAAGTCAAAAAGCTTAATAAAAAGTCAAAAACTAAGTGCTTGTTTGGTTTGATTTTGGGAGATGAGTTTGGGAGATAAAAAGTACGAAAAGTTGTTTGGTTTGATTTTTTTGGAAAGATGTTTTGAAAAATTATTTTGAGAGAGAGTTTTGAAAAAAGTGATTGATTTGATGTGTATGAGAGAGAGATTTGTTTGGAAAACTTGTTTGGTTTACAAGTTTTGGAAAAAAAAATTTGAGAAAATTTGTTTGGTTTGAGTTTTTCTGAAAACTCATTTGTAGAGAAATTTTCCCAAAAATTTTTGGGAAATTCAAACCAAACGAACCCTAATTTTTTACCAACTTCTCAAAACACCCCTAACTACCACCTCCGACAAACTACCCAACCTCTGGTCACCTATATGATTATACCAAGATGTTTTCTTGTTCTTCTCTTTAACAAAAATAAAATAAAATAATTATGAAAATGTCTTCTATTTTTTCATAAATAGTAAATAATAAATTGTAAATGTTATTAAATACTATCATAATATTTTTTTAGCAACTTAAGGTATTATTATTTTTTTTCATTGTTGAGAGGGTAATTTTTGGGAAAAATTGGGCCGAGCTCCGAGTTTGGCTATATTTTTTTAGCAACTTAAGGTATTATTATTTTTTTTCATTGTGAATATTTTTTAAGCAATATTTTAATATTATATAAAAATTGTTGGCATATAGTACTTTGGAAAATGATAGTTATTTTTTTATTACATGCATTAATCAATGTGAAACCCGATATCTTCTAATTAATAGGTAAAATGAATTTGATAAGACACCTATAAGAGGCTCCTTTTCAATTTGAAAAAGTCTGGGACCCAGACTTTTTAAAGCCCCAGATTTTTTTAAGTAAGAAACAGTGCGGTAGAAATTAGATTTGTGTTATTTTAGAGTCCATATATAAAATAAATTTAAATTATACAATGATAATTTTAGATAATTTTTAAATATTTAAGTCTGAATTTGTAATATTACTATTTCAATTTTAGATGGTTTGAAAAGGACCTAATTGATTTATGGTGCACCCTTTACTTTATGGGAAAATAACAGAGCAGTGTAGGTTTAGAAGGAAAAAAAATTATAAATTAGTGATAAAATTTATAAATTTCAATAATTAAAATGTTATATTTTTTCATAATTGTGTAATTTTTTTAAAAATTATCAGTAAATTTTAATTTTTTTCTTACTTTATTGGAAAATTTTCATATTAGTTTAGAAATTGAAAAATAATTACAAATTAATAGTAAATTTTATCAATATTAATAACTAAGATTATAATTTTTTTCATGCATATGTATATGTAATAATTTTTTCAAATTACCACTTAGAGGTAATTTCTCCTACTTTATTTATTCTTCCTTTTTTTTTTGGTTCTTTTTAAATTAACTATTATTATTATTTATAAGTTTTGAACTTGTACTTGATTTCAAGTGTTCAACTTTTTCCTAGGATGTGATGAGAAACTTGTATCAAAGGCTACTTTAGGAATCTAATTCCATCATTTGTTAAAAGCAAGAATATATATATATATAATGATCATATGTTTTGTGACGAACGTGACTCACATGCCCATGTCCTATTTACATTTGAAAAATGCTAGAGTGTCTTAATGCATTATTTAATATTAAAATTGAGATGAAATAAATTAAATATTAAAAATTATGTTAATTTTAATAAAAATATATATTAAATTTAGTAAAAAAATATTTTATATTTTGTGTTTTTTGCCTTCCTTCTTGTGCTCGAAGGAATACTGAGCCTTTGTTTAGGATGTGAGTTGACTTTTTGACTTTTTAATTATTTTAGTTTGAGGTTAAAAAGTCTCATTTATGATTGATTTTTTAGATTTTTTGACTTTTGTGAGGGAAAAAAATAAAATAATTATGATTTAGATGTAACATTTTGTC